CAACCTAGCATACGAGCCACTGCACTAAAATTTGAAGTTCCTGAAACAACTTTACGACATGCGAATAAGAATAATAGACCGCCTAACCGCTCTGGTTCTCTGAAAGTTTTAAGTGACCATGAAGAACAACAATTAGTTGGATATTGTAAAAATATGCAGAAGCTAGACTTTGGACTTACCAAGTCTGGAGTAAACTATTGCATGATAAATATTGTGAATAGTGACAATTGAAAACATCCTTTTAATGCCAGTGGACCTGGCAAGGCCTGGTGGTCTCACTTTTTGAAAGATCATTCTGATCTATCTTTTTGTATGCCTCAGGCTCTCTTAGAGGCACGCGCACAAAAGACAAATCCGACTATTGTAAAAGATCACTTTGATAAGCTTAAAAAATTAATTCAAGAAAATTCTCTTACTGCTAATTGTATTTGGAATATGGATGAGACTGGGTTTGTCGTAACTCCTAAAGTTCAAAAAGTTCTTGCCGCCAAAGGTTCTTGTCAAGTTTATAAAGTAGCACACAGAAATTCCCATGAACACATATCTGTTGCTTCAACAATTTCGGCTGCTGGTGGTTATGTCCCTCTATTATTTATTTATAAAGGTGTTTATGCAATTCCAGATTTGTTAGATGGTGCTTCAGTTGGTAGTGTTATAGGATTTACTAACATGGGGTATATGCGCGAAAATCTGTTTCAAATATATATCAAACATTTTATTAAATCTATTTCACCTAGTTGACCTGTTTTTTTAATACTAGATAGACACAAAAGTCATGTTAATTATATAAGTGTAAACTTTTGCTATAAAAATGAAATTCTATTATATGCACTCCCACCTCACACTACTCATGTTCTCCAGCCATCTAAGCTTCTATTCGCTAAACTTAAATCCGAATACAGCAAAGGTTGTGATAAGCTTCACAGTGAAACTAGTAAAGTAGTAACTAAATACACCTTTGCAAAAATGCTTGGCCCAGCATTTATCAAGACTTACACTCCTGAGGCAATTACTAATGCTTATAAAGCTATGGAGATTTGGCCTTTCAACTCTAATGCTATAAGCCTAGATCGTCTTGGTCCTTCTTTATCAACTGAACAAATTGATAATTTACCTTTATCACAAGTTAATAGTTTATTATCTTTGTCAGCACAAGTTGAACAGAAGCTACCTTCACTGAATACTACATTATCTATTCAACTAAATAATTCATTACATCCAAATAATTCGGCTTGGGTTAGTATTACTAAAGTAAATGAACTTTTAACAGAAATTGATTCATTAAAAAAAGAAAATGCAAGTTTAAAATGAACGTACCAATCAACACAAGAGGAACTTGAGATGTTTAAAAATCCTGGTACTTGCTCATTAAAACTATCTCTTAAATATCCTACTTCGAGAGTTTCCAGCACAAGTAGAATTAGAGTCTGTGCAGCCAAAAAAAAGAAAAAACTTACCGTTTGCTCGACTTCTCACTAATGAAGAAAGTCTACAACAATTAAAAGAAGCAAATGAGTCAGCAAAAAAGAAGACAAAAAGTGCAAAGAAAAAAAAAGAAGAAGCAGCCAAAAAAAAAAGCTGATCAGGAAGCTAAAAAAGCACAAAAAAGGGTTGAATTAGAGCAGAGAAAAGAGGAATGTTTGTATAAAAAAAAAAAAAAAATTAATGCTACCATTAGTAATGCATAATAGATTATGCAACTTTTTAATATCGGGTTCCATCTTGATTTTTTAATATAAAAATTATCAACTATGTAACTTATGCATTTCGAAGATCTTAACATTTCTAAGTGCGCCACAATCCCCCCACCTAATAAAATTTGGCTTCAAAAAAAGTCGTATTAAACAAGTTTTTCTAGTAATAATTGCACTTTTTTTTTACATTAGCAGATAGGCAAGCATTAAATTAGTTGGTCTAAATGAAATTTCGAAATAAATATTTATTTATAAAATTTTAATTAGCGGCGCAGCTTAGGTGCGCCATAATACCCTCATCTACTTTATATATTTAATAAAACAAAATCAATAATTATTTTCTTCAATAAATAGCTTATTTGTTATTGCACAACTAACAATGTTGGCCTGATTAAAATATCGGCAGAAATTAGGATCAAAAAAAAAAAAAAAATTATAATGGAGAATAAAAATTAAAATCCATATTTGCGCGTAAGAACTAATGGATCATCAATAAAACTAAAATAACTATTTGTTCGAAGTGTAATAACTTATATTTCAAGTTCAAGGGAACAAGTCAGCCTTTATGATACCTCTTTAGACGTACAAACGCGTTAATATAACATGTCTTCGTGATGTGGTGCATGATGTAAGTATAACCTAATTACAGGATTTCGTTCAAAAATCGCTGATTTGGCTTCAAACCAAATTCACTTCTCTTAAACAAAATTCTGGGCTGTAAACTAAGCACTTTTTTTACATTACACCACCATATTTATATCTTGTTTTATTAAGCCAATTAAATCATGAAACCGAAAATTAAGTATAACTTCGATATTAATTTTTCAAAGCTTTATTAAATTTCACTATATACATAAAAATGAAAAATGCTCTTAATTTCTAGCTACTTATCATTTCTTAGTAATTTTATCTAGATACTGTATTAATAGAAATTAAATTTTTTCGATGTATATTCGTAAACTATGAGTACCCAGTAGTGTACCGGCAACTACTAAATATCCAAGTTATCTATCACGACTATGATAACGTTACTATACCGTTATCCAAATATTGAACGTCCAACTAACAAAAGCACTTCCACTTTTCAACACGTACAATTTTTATACAGTTATAATAAAGGATTGCAAAATTGTGATTTAACGTTAGTACTTGCTCCTTTATTGAGTTAGAGTGTTTTTTATAATGATTTTTTAAATTAATATTTTACTTGTTTTTCAAGCGGTGAACGCCAATATTTTATAAATTTGAATTATATATTTATTAGAAATTAAGTCTTACAGCCGTTTTCAAAAAGTGTGAGCGGTCGCAGATCACCATATCATGGGAAATTCATGATATTTCCCAGATTTCCGAAATGTTCAAGACCGTTCTAATCAGAAGTTTGTATGGAAATCGTTGTTTACTAGGGATGGTAAATGTTTTTTATTACGTAATTAAAAACAGGGGAAGTTAAATTAATAAACAGGTAAATCAGTATTTGGACTTTAATCATCACATGCTTTAAACAGGTGAAAAAATGGTTTACTGTTTTTTACCATTGTTTGCACATTTTTGAAAACGGCTGTAATTTTCACTAATATAAACTTCCAAATTCTTGATTTTCCACATAGGTATATTGAAATCATTGTTTACACATTTTTGAAAACGGCCGTAACAAGTAAAGTTGGCATCGGTTTATTGCAAATTAATTAAATCATCGTTATGAGAGGCTGCAATGAGTATAATAATTTTTTACAAGGCAATCTCCAAAATTTCTGGTCTGAATGCATCGGAGCTAGGCTGGTATTTAGCAATATTAGCCAGTACGATCTATAACAAAATTATGGACACTTTTTACTTAATGAATGGTTATGATTTCATTGGTAAATTTTTAGTGATATTGGGCAAAATTAATCAATCCCAGCCGACCAGGATTCCGATACATGAGTTGACAGTACGCCTTATCAAGTGAAGAATAAGATGTGACAACTATGATCACGCCGACCAATCGAGTATAGATTTTGAGGCTGTTATAATTACCGTAGGATATAAAATATGAGCTTGTGTTACAAAATCCACATCATGAGTGGGTTTATAGAATAGGATTATTTACAAGAGATATTATATAGGGAAATTAAATGTTATTCGGATTATCCTTTGAAAACGCCAGGGAAGTATCGTTTATATACTTTTCTCTACTTTGTTCGAAATTCTTCCCTGTGGCTACTACCGTATAAACGCGTAATAATGTGCAGGGGCGCGCATGCGCGATAATTCGAATTTTGGAAAAAGATTTCAACTACTAAAATACTTTCTTGAGACATCATAATAGAACTAGAAAGAGATACAGTACTTAGTTTTTTTGAGATAAGACGAATAAAGTTCTAGATATATTGTTAATCATATTTAATCATATGATAATAAATAGATTTCAGATTTAGAAGCTTATTATATTCAAATTTATTCGAAGATTCAAAATGGCATTGGTGTTATTTTGAATCAAATATGCCATTTTTAAAAAAATTGAAATTTCGAAATAACGCCCATGTGCTTTACTACGCACTTATACGGTAACTCTTTCCGATAGTCATTGACTTCTCCCGACAATCACTGACTATTCCCGTTGGCTCGGTCGATCGATTTCGTAATCCCACAGACCGACCCGCAATACTATATCAAGTATACTCCGTACATTTCTTAATAAACTATACACTTCATGATTTCATCACTCTGTTCCAAGTACTAATATTTGATTTAATTAGTTGAGGCGCCATCCTAATAGAATGTTTTTGTGCACCCCAAAAAACACCAAGCGATAAATACATTCCTTAACAAGATCATTGATTTGGATCACTTGATTAGTACCAAAATAATTTTCAAAAATGTTTTAATCCACAGTTGAATAGTACCCGATACTATTTAAAATGGATACTTTTTCAAGAGGGTACTATATGCAGCGCTGTACGATAGTTATTGTGGAAATAATAACCAATAACCTCAACTTATAATCATTATGAAATCCTTTATTCACGAAATTGTCAAACTAAAAAATACAAATAATTATGAAGTGGTTAAAACTAAGCATATGTAAATTTTGTAGTTAAACTTTTATTTTCCTTATTTTTAGCTGAGGCGGTAATTAATAATTCGCCAAATGTTAAAGAAATCTCTACTTGAGATTCATTTGAACCTAAATGATTATCAGGTAACTCAATACGTAAATCAATTTTTTTCATGCCATCTTCGTTGCAATATTCGGCATTAGTTCTTGAAGTAACAAAGACCTCAAAAATAACATCATCTTGATTATCTTCCACAGGCATATAAATGTTTCTTCAAGCGCAACCTTTTGTCCACGACTTGCAATACAATGAAATTTGTCTCGACCAGTTATGGGATCGTAAGTACCAGATCCTATTTTAAGTAAACACGTTAAATAATTGTCAAAGACCATTATAAAAATTATTTCAACTTGCCATAAGACATCGGCAAAATGCGATTTGTAGTGAAAATATAGGAAAGCTATCAATTGAACAACGTTCTGTTCTAAAATTTATGATGCACCGCCCATGTTTCTTTCATAAATACAACCATGGCAAGTCTGGTTTAAATACGAAAGAATACCACTATATTACTAACCCCAATTATAGAGAACTAAATAATCAACTTCACAATGCTCTAGTAGAAATTAATTATTAAAAGTTAAAAATCTCAGTGCTCTCACGACACTCGAACAAACCGCTTGCAATTTTAATTGTCTGATAGGATATAAGTCAACAGAAATTGAATCGTTAAAACAGGAAAAAAGACAACTAACTAAAAATATTGATGAATTAAAAACTAAATTAAATGAATCAGATAACGAAGCCTCTCATTTACAAGCTGCCCCACAAATGTCCGTTGGGGTGACGACACGCAGTATAACTTTAATCAAATTAGAAAAAATATTATCAAATTGCAGAATGAAGTCCAAGGATTTACTGACGTTGATGACACAGATCAAATAGAACATAGTGCAGAAAAGTTGGGTTTCCGGCACAAAATCGACATCCCTAATAATGAAGATGAAAAAAAAAACTCAATTTTAAGTTCTATTCTTCAGCGAATTGTTCTTGAGAATATTTTTGATAAAGCCTAAAACTTTTCTCAAACCACAAATTATCCTGGGTTTAAAGAATATTCTGAGTCTAAATTAGAGTTTGGAACCGGTTTTATTTTTCATATGTTAAAACCGGTTTTAATTGGTTTTAACATATGAAAAATAAAAC